CCGCTTCCATTTCTCGTGACCTAAGCCTCCTTCGAATTGAGCTTTCATTTCCGTATGCTTCCACGCTTTCCAGTGCTCACTTCGAAATTAAGTACATGTTTTATGCCCCGGGTTCCTTTGAACAGTGCTTTTTACGGCTTTTTCCGGCTCACTGATAAGAACGGCGTTGATTCTGCCGGGGTTTCCCAGGGTGGAAATGCAGTTTTAGAGCTTCAAGTGTCGAGTCTTTTTCAGGCTGAGTAAATTTTTTAGTAATATGAACCTGTTGTATGTAAGTGGTGCAAGGTGGAACATTTCCTCCGGGGGCAGTCCGGTGGGAGTTAGACTAAATATCGCTTAGCAGGGATATTTACCCATTTTTCACCGTAGATCTATTGTTCTTTCTGCAAATAGCTCCCACGAGAATCTCATCTCATTTGCAATCGCCATAGAGACGATTTTCGCAAGCCGCCGCTATGAACATTTTTGAATTTCTTTTTATAAGTGGGGCTCAATGTTTAATATGATCCCTCGTGAATTCGATATTTTTCAAATACTTATTTCTTATTACTCTATGCGCGACTATATTTTTCTCCACAGCCATTTTTACCTATCTTTAGATGATTGATTGCGATATTCTTTAAATTGATTTTTGTTTTTCAATTTTTTATCCAACCCCTGATACTTAGCTTCCTAAAACGCTGAAAAAGTATGATTTATCTAGAATCCCGAAAATTTTTCATTCGTCCGTGAAGTCCATGAATTTATCAACAAGTTCTACGTTTCTCAAAATATACTCACATTTTTCTTTTAGATTCGAAAATCCTTTCATGACATTGAATAATTCCAAAACACCTTGAAAAGCCGCAAGTCTCTGAATGCTCTAAATTACTCTAAAAATCTTGAAATTCCTAATCTAAACTATTACATTTCTTGCGCTTATAGTTGCCCGACTGTCCTTCATTTTTTAAAGGCCTTTGTCCTTAAAATTCCCAAAAATGAAAGAATTCCTCCAATATTCCGAGGTTGAAAGGAAACCCCATTTACGAAGAAAATACCCCCCTCCTCTCTTAAAAACTACAACTTTGAACGGGACTAGTAGAAAGGGCATGAATGAAAGCAGTAAGTAACATCTTGCCTGCTTCAAAAAGTTTATGTAGAAAACGATTTGCACAGCGACCAACCAGCAGTCCAGAAGTCCAGCAGTCGCAACTCCTGAATAAAATAAATAGAGAACATAATTTGTGCACTATACCTACAATTTATTGTTGATTTTGAATACTTACGAGAGTCTAAAAGGACTCGACCTCTGAACTTTCAGTCCCTTGAATTGTTTTCTACTTGGAAATTCAAAGAAAAAATAAGGAACAGAGTACATTCATTTATATCTTGGGCACTTTCCTTTTCACTTTGTCGAATAAAAAGACCTGTGTTTGCAAAAGGAATTAAAATGTTGAGTCACTTTAAAAGTTTTCCGGTCCCACCGGAACCCCTCGAACCGTCAGCTCTCGTCAAGTCTGAAAGTTTCGGAGGCCGGGACCGAGGAAAAAATCTCTTGCTGAGGCCCTCTCACGTCTTCGTCGGTCGACTCATCGCCGGGAACTCCCGACAGCTTCGGGGGTGATCAACCCCAACAACCCCCCCCNACTCACACACCTTCTCCCCCCTACACACACACCTTCCCTCACACACATACCAGGACCTATACAGGAATGGCGGCTCGAGTCCAGGGGTCATTCGTCTTGAAACTGAATTTTTCTGACAGGGCGGAGGAGGGTGAGCGTAGCACGCAAAACACTCAGCGCAGAAATGACTGAAGCCGCACGAATATGTGACAATTTTAATCTTAATTTATGAGGCTCACGCCGCGTCAGTCGCCCCCCCCCCCCCCCCGGGCCCCCTCGCCCACCATGCTGCTCGAGTGCGCCCCTCTTCAAGTAAAACACACACGTCAGCTCTTACATACTAATAAAAAGAGCTGTAAATCAACGTTCAAGACGCTCGCGACAGGGTTGTCAAATTAATTGATGGAAGTGAAAGGGACGGATTGAGCTATGAGCGCTGATTGGTTAGTTTTTCACTGAATACACGAATAGATAGATAGCTAAATAGATTGATAGATATCCTCCTTCGGGATGCTTTTTCTTTCACGGCTCCATTCTTCTACTCCTCGATATGCTTAGCAGCGTGTCCGGCGGGCTGATTACTTAAAATTCTAGACAAAGCTATGGACAAAGAAGGCAAAGAGAAAATGGAGCGATCCTTTTGGTGGAGGCAAGAAGTTACAATGGACAATAGGGGTAAGTGATAGATTAACCAAAGGAAACTCACGAGGGACCCTATACCCAGTCCATTATTTCCCCCTTGGTCTATAACAATATCTGCTTCCGCCAGTTTAGGATCGTTCCATTTTCCTCTTTATTTTCTTCGTCTATCGCTTTGTCCATCGATCTCAATAATCAGCCCACTGATGTCTCCGCCTTTTTAATTGAGTCTTGAGTAGTTTTTGCATCTCGTTATTTCAGTCTGGCTGGATCATGATCCCGATGTCAAAATAGAAATTTCAGACATTTCTGATAATGCATTACACTAAAAAAAAAAAAAAAAAAAAAAAAAAAAAAAAAAACCCGGTCGTAAAAATCGTAATTTCGAGCCATACAGACATAACATCCGTTGCGAGTGCTGAAGCCGTAGCTTCGACTGCTCCGGGCTCAGAGGCTGGATCATCGGGTGCTGTACCCGGAACTTTCGGCCTGAGCCCGGAACGGACGGTATGTCCATATAACCCGTAAGTTACGTCTTCCGCAGCCTGAGTTTTGGGCACTCCTGGTTTACCAGATGCGCCCTCTCCAGTCTCCGCGTTGTAAATGTATACATGGGACATAGTGTGATGTCTTATGGGGAAATGACGTCATTTTGGTACAGGCGGTAAAATTTTGATCTTCTTCGGTATCTCTTATTTCTAAAAATATGTGTGGAATGGTGGATTTTGTGCCAAAAAATTCTGCACGGATTTATTACCGGGTTAGGTACATTATTTTAAGGTCCTCCTTATGTTTCAATATTTATATCCGATCTGTATCTTTCGAGTAAATTTGAAAAATTTAGGAGTAGTCACGTGAGCTCCTCATTTAATGACGTAATACTGTGCTTTCCTGTGATAGATTCATTTTCCAAGTGAGCTTTCTCTGTGGCCGCCATTATCTCACCTCTTTAAAGTATAAAAAGAATATATTATACTGATCATTGTACATGGTGGAAAATTGCTCTAGATCACTAATTACGTCCATGAAAGCCAAAACCAGACGTTTATATTTAACGATTGATTAATTTAATTCATGAGAATCTAAGTACTAATTTGCCTCAAGGCCAATCCATTGGGCCAAGATGCTATGGCGGCGCCTCGTTTAACAGCTGTGAAGCATGCGGTCAATGAGCGTACGTAATTTCTGAACATGCCAATTCTCCGTCCGAGAAGTCCACATTTTAGTTAAATAGTGTAGTTTTTCAATTTACAACAGTCCCTCCAGCGTGGCTGAGTTCCACCGCGCCCGGCATCATCCCCGGGGGTGGGGGTTCGATACCTCGCCGGGGAGAATTTGTTTTCATAGTTCTTCTTTAACTGACTAAGTATGAGCGACTATATCACTTCCTTGCCACTAAGAGGAGCGCCTTCTGGAGCGTCTTGTTTTTTTCTCAGTGGAGCAAGATATTGGAGTGATTTTGGATCTTACGCACGAGGAGCTCCCGCAGTTGGCTGTGTTTCTGGTATGCAAGTAGAATGGAGCCGTTTGGCAACATCCTTGGCGGTTGAGCCCGAAACTGAGATCCGGTGTTTAATGAGGCACTGACTGTGGCTTGCCTCCCCATTTTCTCATTACGCTCTGTGTCCTTGCTCTTGCTCTGCTGCATGACTTCGTCCTCCGGCCCGGCCCCGGCCCCGGTCTCCTGCGGAACATGCCGAATTGCCGAGTGCAAACACTATTCACCCCCCGCCGCGCTGCGCCGAGCCGAGCCGAATGCCCTCTCGCAGAAACCGCTTCCTTCAATCTTGCAGAACCCTTTTTCTGCAATCCCTGTAGAAGCGGCTTTGGCAGTACACCTACACCACGTTCTAATGCCGAAGCCGCGCTTTTAGAATTTCTTTTCCTTGGGTTCAGGGATGAGAACCGGAAACAGAATCTGGACCACTCATCATTGGCGAAGCCAGAACCTGAACTGGAACCAGAGTTTTCAGTTTTCTTAGACCCGGAATCAGAATAGGAACTTGAACTTGGAATCTTCTTGTGAGAACTTAAAGTGGAGTCTTCTTTTTGATTCTAAAAATCAAGCCTCCCAAGTGTTTTTTTCTAATTTTTCCAAGTTCATCAATAGCTTTATATCTTTGTAACGAGTAGCAAATAAAATAAGAAATAGTAGCAGCTTGAATGTCATACCAATGCAATTCGCCTTAAAATGTCTCATATAATTTTATTTTATTGAATGATTCGTCGATGATTTTATCTTTCCTCGTAAACTTGATCGTATGACTGTATCTTGAACTCAGTCCAAAAACTGTTAACCAACCAGTGCCAAACCAGTTCCAGTATTGCGGGCTGGAACCGCGGGTCCGGCTCTAAATATAGTACCTTGTGAGTCGGAACCGGTTCCAAAAAGCAATTCTTGTCTATATCCCTGGTTTTGCATTGGGCAGCCATTGCAAAAAAAATTAGGGCATTGATGAACATGTTGGAAAAACTCGGTTTTGTTTATTTAACTGTGTGCAGAACAATTGATACACCTAGAAGCAGGCTGCCTCGCTTTCGCTGAGGGAAGTAGTTTTTTACCTAGGTAAGAATGTGCTGCCTTTGGTTTCGTCTTTTTGATCCGAAGGTTTTCTTCTTTAAATCAAATTCATACGATCTGAAAAAGTGGAAATGTATGAAATGAAAAAGCCATTTCTTAATTTTTTTATTTAACTCGTCGATTTCTAAACAAATTAATCCTAATCATTTTTCTGATGCTTTATTTGTTTCATGCAGACGCGTGGCAAAGTGTGAGGTATTGTGCTCAAATTTGGAAGGTATCTGCAGTGTTGCCGATCGTTTGATGTTCTCGTCTACAAAAGCAGGTAATTTACTCAAATTATTTCTTGTTTCTATCTCTCTTTCTTGATTCTAGTCACTAAGGAAGCTGAAGATATAGGTTTTTTTCCGATGCATGACCCCTAGATGAAATTATAGGAGACTGAATTGTGTTAGAATTTCAACGTCCTGGATATTACAATTTGATTCATGTATTTTGCGAGTTCATCGTCGATCTGATCTCATACCTAGGAAATTTGTGTGGGAAGAGCACTTAGGAAATGTTGCGAGGAAATGCAAGAATGTAGCTGCCAAGGCGACGTTAAAGCAACTTGAAAGTATTTTGCTCTCAAGGAGGAGCTCGCTGCTTTTTTGAGATAGTGAAAAGTTGAATAACACAACGCATCTTCGCGCAAAATACGAAAAAAAAAAAAAAATAATAATAATTACTAGGCGTCTTAAATGTAAATTTGTCTCTTATTGAGATCATTCTGAGTCTCAGTCCAAAAATAGGTAGGTAAACTCTCTTAAAATTAGACTTGTATCTTTCCTTACTGTTCACGGTAGAATTGGCATTATTAAAGAAGAAAATGAAATTATCGAACTATATGTAGATTTCATTGTACAGAAGAGGAGTGTTTGTAGAAAAGGGTGATACAAAAACAACGAAAAGTGTCTAACCAAAACCAAAGCCATGACTATGTAAGGTTTGCAAATTGAACAAACGTAGTTCTGAGAGTAAACGATCTAAAGTTTTAATCTTTAAGTTTTGGACTCGCAATTATTCAATTATTATTTAATTTTACGTATACTCCCTTTATTGACTCAGAATGAGCAAACTGCTGGACCCTATTTCAGGTATGTTTGCCCTTTTCATCTGCATGCGCATACAACAGCTAAAATTTCTGCGCATGCAGAAGAGAAGGGTATACTTACTTATTTGGAACGAGATCCAGCGACTTATTCCTCGAGTATTGGAGAGTGTCTCCCTCTGGAAACTCAAATTCCAATTTTCTGCAGGCTGATAGTCAAATCAGGCATTTCATCGAATACTCGTATGTTGCATAGTCAAATCCTGAACACTTATCAATTCTCACATGTTCTTTGTGAGAATTCATGAGTGCTTCAGTGCCTTAACAGGAAATATTGATCAAAATATCAGCTTTCCTTAACTCAGACTCGGTAAAATTTTGAACATAATTCTTATTTTCAAACTTTTAAATAACCAGTACTTTACGGAGCACCTAGCACTACAGTAGCAATACATTGAACCTTACTCATTGCCATAAACGCTGGAAATATTTATGACTTTTACTCTTGATGGAATAATGGTTTATATCTGCTTAGAAATTCGAAAGAAACGTCTAATTGGAGCCTTAGCTTGCAACAGATTCATCTTGACAAAAACAACTCCTTAAAAAAATACTCTAAGCATTATGGCACCTCCTGCTTAGGACGACGTTATTTTTATCAAAATTGAATCACTTTTGAAGCTCAAATATGAGAAACAATGGATGTGCATTCTGTGACACTCGAAACTGCCTTATCAGAATCTCAAGGGACCTATTATTTACCTGAATCGCGGAACGAGACCTCTCCAGGCCTCCACCTCTTAAAAAATTCAACATTGGATAAAGAGGGGGCTCCATGGAGGAAATGTATAACTTGGCTCTTGCGTAATTTTGGAAGAGCTATGGAAGGCATTTTTCTTCACCCATGGCTCCTCAGAGCCGGCTCACGTCTTAAATATAAAACCATTCCACGTGAAAAATTCACGCTACTTAAACTTTTCACTTACTCTCTACGAAGCTTTCATTATTTTCGGAGGCCTCCTTCCCATGAGTTGACATAAAATGTCATTAAGTTATATTTATGACTGTATTCCTGTCCTCGTATTATTATCTTAAGATCATTGCTTACTTCATTTTATTGTCCCTACTTTACAGAAGTCTAACGAAACACTGTAATTCAAAAACAAGGAAGTGAGGAGGTATGAATTATCGCAGTATCTCCAGATCTAATAAATATTCCCGGGTGAATTTCATTATGTTCGAAAATATGAGTACATTCCAACCAACCATTATTGAATTTTATCTCTTCGTTTATTTCATACGATATTCCCGACCAATTTTGATAAAAATGAATCATCCCCATATTATATATTATAATATGTATATGTATAATTCCGTAAGCCTTTTATTTGCGTCAAAATTCAGCGCGAACCGCCGGGCCGATCCGTGCGCGGGTGGTACCGGCTCCACCGTCCGGTCCCTCGACGGCGGGAAAAACATAGGGATCGGCCGGCGGGCTCGGCTCCCCTTGCGCCCTTGGAAAAATCGGATATCCTGTTAGTCCCGCCGGGAGATGCGCGGTTTTTCGTTTTTCCCGTGCGAGTTTTTTTCAGTCAGCTGATAATTTGGCTGTCGGAGGCGATTGTCGTCGTAGAAATCGCCATGGGCGATGGATTTTCGGAGGATGTGCCTCAAATTTTTACGTAAATAAACCATACTAGGGGCCTGAGGTCGCTACGCGGCCGCTAAACACTGAAAGGGAACTGCACGTAAGAAATCATAGAACAACCACGTTCAAGTTATTTATTATAATTGAATAGCAACTTGAATTGACAATAAATTTTGAAAGAAGATATAACATGCTCTAAAATTTTGGAAATTGAAATTGGAATTTTGAATTTATCATCATTTAATAACAGTTTAAATTTATAATCTGGAAAAATTAAATTATTCCGGAAAATAATTTCGGACTTTTAAATGTGAAGTGAAAGTATTGTGATGCCTTGCATTTCAAAAAAGAGGAGGTGAACGGCCATTTTAACAGATCTTGTCATAATGGTCGTCTCAGACTTGCCGAGCTTGCAGTCAAAGACCAACTTCGCGACCTCTTCTCCAAACCCATTTTCATGACCAACATTTTGAGGTACAACAGTTGTATGGCTTTTGCATCTCTGTCTGCTTCCAAAGCTCATATAATTTTGAACCAAATCTTCTGCTATCGAATACGAAAAATCCTGGAGAATTTAAGTTTTATGTTGACCAGCTTTTCGAAAGAAAAATAAAATTTCTAAGGAAGTCTGCAACGTCGCAAAAGGAGAAACGTCGTCTCTCATTTTGCCCAAAAATATATACGTATAAAATTGAAGGCATTATGACTGGCCTCTAGACGTTAATAGCCTGAGTAGCTGAATGTCTCAAAATTATAATAACTAACTAACTAACTCTCTCAACTTATATTCGCCTGCAACGATAAACAATGGGACGCGTTTGCCACGGCGCCTTGATACAACTATACAACCTCGACGGATGTCCGTATTGCGTTCAAAAAATTGAAGGCGTTTTGACCCTCTGCTCATACTACCTGTAGTTGATTCGATCGATAAACGCGTTGGTCGGCGGTGACGGGGACTTGATGCAGTTTTTTAAACTTGATGGATGTCCATATCGCACCGACTAAAATGCGAAACCACGTATCTCCAGTGCGGTGTTTCAAAATTTCAGTTCTTAATTCATCCCTTCAATTTTAAGCTTTAGTATTAATATATCTGAATATATTAAATTTATCAGAATCTCTTTCATTAACATCGTAAATGCTCTGTCGAAACGAATATGGTAAATCACGCACCAGTCGCATTTCGCCACGCCGTTCGATGCGCCGCAAGGAGGGGTTGCGAAAAACATGCCCGACGCGCGATCCCCGTATTTTTCCTGACCCCGCGGCACCGGGACGGTCCCGCCGGCACCTCCGACGCCCGGATCGGCACGACGGTCGCGGCGCAATTTCGAAACAGAAATCGGGCTCACGGAATTATATATTAGGACTAGGGGCCTGTTGCCGCTACGCGGCCGCCAACCACTAAAAAAGAAACTACACGTAATAAATAGCAGAACAAACATGTTTAAGTTATTTCAGAGATGAATGGATTCAAAGGCCGACGGGTGGACGCGAATGAAAGCGTATTTATCTCTGATTCCAACGGTATGCACCAATTTTTATGTTTGCTTTCGATCACGGTTTTTAAAAAGCTACACACACTTTTTCTGAAGAGTTTCCTTGCAGTTTCCTAAATGATCTCAAATCAAAGCGTCGAAAATTTCCACGTGATATTTTCGTTCGTTCTGTTTTCTTTTTGTTAAACCAAAATTAATTCTACGCGAATCAAGTTTCAGAATCCCTGCACCACTTAAACATCGTCCGAGTTTCTGAATCGTTGCAATTAAGATACATATCTGCCTTTAATTGTGGTACAAAGCGGCAGGGGCCGTCCAAAGAAAGACGCGTGGTCCTAGTTTTGCGGCAATTTTAGCGTTGCGCAAGCCAGGGAAGGGAGCGCGGAGCGCGGTCGAGTGTCGAGTCATTTGGCGCAATGCGTGAAGTATTCCAGTAGTCTTGCAGGCGCTGATATAAGTTTGACGCCTACCGCACCGTATTTGGCGCTTCGAACTCGCGTTTAGGATAATCGCGGCATCGAACGACGGGGCTTAAAAGGCCCATGTTCTGTTTCGACGCCATATGAACATTCCAACGTTGCCTCATTTCTCCCGATAAAATTATTTCTGAGAAAAATTAGGAAATTGCTAAATGTTCCCTCTTTTATGTTGAACGGACCATGTAACAGGTACGAATTTAAGCATTTTGATATATGATTCTTCACCAAAATTTCACGTAGAATATGATTTGCGCGACGAAAACTACTGAAATCAACTTCTAGCTAAGATATTAACGTTTTTATTGTTCGTTGGTTACGGGAACTTTGAATTGCCCGGTAACAAGAAAAACAAAACCCCACGCGAGTCAAATTGCGCACTACAACGGCTTTAGCAAACTACTCAGCGAGCATTGTTCCTTTCGTAAACTGTGTTGTTGAAGGTGTGCACAACTTTAGCTCAGCGTCAAGATTGAGGTTGCCATATTTCTACATTACTGAGACTATCATACTGACGTTTGGCGTACAATTTAACCCAAGTAAATTATTCTTTCTTCCATGAGCGGACTGGTGAAAATTATACTTGAAAAATGTTATTATCACGGTTAG